TATGTGGCTTCTCCTGAACTTCTTCAGAGAAGGAGCCTGGTGAGGGAGGAGGACCAGCTTCCCCACTAGAGGAGGCCAGAGGAAAGGCCTGTCTGCGGAGCCAATGCCCAGCACAGAGCTGTCTGTTGTCAGGCAGTGAAGTGAAACTGAGCAAACCCAGTTCCTCAGCATCATTCAACTCTTGGAAAAAGTAACCCGAAGTTCTTTTCCTACCAACACTCTATCATGCCTGTATGCTATCCTGCCAAGGCAGGACTAAATATCAGTCCTGTTCTATGATCTTCCATTTCCTACGTCTCAGTCCCACCATAGACTGTGAACCTGCACGTGGTAAGGAATTCAGCAGAGAACAATGCAGGCATCAGCTCTGCCCTCCTGAAGCCTGCAGTCTAGTGGGGGTATAGAAATAAATACATTTAAGATACAAAATAATTACAAATTAAATCCCACAAAAGAAACAAACAGGATGCTGAAATAGATCGGAAAGGCAGAGACAGTAGGAAAGAATCTATTTGAAACACGAGTTTTTCAAACTGCTGACTGAGAAACATTAGTGAATCATGAACTCTATTTAGATGTTCATGATCAGATCTTTTTTTTTAAAAATGAAATAGAACTGAATGGAGGTGAATGAACTAGAAGACATTAGCTGCATCACATGTGATAAGTATAAATACTGTTTCATGAAACTATAATTTCTGTTGTCTATATGAATTACATATTTATGTAGCTCCTGGCTCATAATATAAAAAGCAGTTGTTACAGTGGAGAGTGGTAAAAATAAGTTTGAAAAAACTAATTAAGATATGGCCTCAGGAAGGCTGCTCTGAAGAAGACATTACATAGGTGACCAATGAATTGGTTGATTTGATATTTTATCTAGTGAAAAATTTTAACTAGTGAAACTTAATACTCATGCTTAAACCTGTACAACGAAACAATACAAATTAATACCAATCTTTTATTAAAAGAAGTCAAGTTGCTATGAATTGCTCTTTTCAAATATTAATTCTATTATTTTGCATAGAAATACATCTTGAGTTCTAAATGTTAATTAATAGTAGTAGGTCATTAACAGACCTCTTCAGAACTTATTGGCAATAATAAAAATATGCTACCTGTGTTTCAAAAATAGTCCTTTTCTTTTCCAGAGCAGCCAATGTTGCTTTCAACCTCGTCTCATTCTCAAGCAACTTGCATGTAGCTAAGAAGCTGGTTTTAAAAAGTGGCACAGACATTCGAACATACAGTTTAGATTTAGTTCCCACGTTTTCTGCTGATTCTTGAAGATTTAATAGAATCATGACCACTCCACAATCATTACCATGTTAACCCCTACAGCAATTAAAAAATGCAGGCAGCAACACAACTAGCAAGCCATTGAACACATTCATTTTTGTATATTTACTTGAGTTTTACTCAGGTGAATTAGCAAAAAGCCATACAGTAAGTAAGCATCCTATACTTTCCAGAAAAGACTTCCACCTTGGACTTGAGATGTTTTTGGGGGAAAAAAATTGTATTTGTTCTTCAAGTACTTGGTTGCATATTTTCTTTACCAGACTTAAGATGCCTTGGGACATTTTTTGGACAATATTTTCTCCAATCCATCCACAGAATCCAAGACATTTTCATCTTGTTCAGGGGTAGCTCTTTTGAACCCTTGGCCTCTTTGTCTAAAGTTAGAAACATATGTCTCTTTCAATAGAACGCTCAGAGAATATGCATATGTCAACATTTTTAAATATTTAAATGTGCAAGTGCATATATATTCCGGATACTGGGAACAGTGGTACTACTACAGCGGGGACAAGTAGAGTAGGGGTAGTTCTTTTCACTGTATATCTGTGGCAGATACCACAGGTTAGCTCTGAACATCCATTCCAATCCAGTTTTCCTTTGCCTTCCTCATTGTAGACCTAAAAGCTCAAAACTTCCAAGTCTCCCTTGCAGCCAGGGGTGGCCATGTGATGTATTTCTGGCCAATGAGATATTGGCAGAAAATTACATTTTGCCCTTTGCTCTCGGGCTTCCCTCTTCCTTCAGCCCTAAATGGCAACACAATACTCAGAGGTCTAGCAGCCTTTGGGACAAAATCCACACACTAAGGGTGGCAAGGCGGGAGAAAACTGGTACCCTGAACAGCTCACAAGACTTACACTACAGCTGGAATCCTAATTAGATGAGAAAGATAACCCTGCCAACACATTGAATCCTTTGCATATCAGAAGTGATGCAAAGCTCAAAGTATCCTAGCATTTGGTAGATTTTTTTGCCTTTCAGTGTTTGGACCAAGTGCATGCATGACCTAGTCAAAAAATAAGAAAAAATTTAAAAACAATGCAAAGTATATGTAAGTCTTCATTATTTTTATTTCTTTCATTTTCTAATAGCTAAAAAAAATTGTTTGGCTTTTTCACTACCTAAATCTTTAGATTATCAAAAAAATTATTCTAGTTTTTTCCTTGAGCATGGCTAAAACCTGGGCCATACTCAAGACCAGCAGCCAATGAGTTAATGACACACCAGAAGCCCCTGGGGCCACTTGGACCCTTCTGCCAGAAAAGCTACCTTTGTTTTATTTTACAATCATTGGATCTCAGTGGTAAGAGTGTGAACTCTGTTGGGAAGAATTCCAGAGACACCAACTTATCAGACAATTTCCACCTCATTCAACATGGTGTAACACATATATGGGCATCTGGAATCATCTGAATTATTGGCAACTGTGACCAGCAACATTTGCCATGGGCTGAGATTTTTGATTTATTTTGAGCTCTTTGATACAATTCCCCCTAGTGGTACTCAGAGGAAAAAATTATAAAATTAAGGCAGCATTCTTAGTTGCAAACAGAACTCACTCCAGCTAGAATAAGCAGAGAAAGGATATATTAAGGGTATTATCAGCCCCACCACTAGCCCAAAGCACAAATGAAAAAGCCATCCATTCCTCATGATAACTCACTGCCATTTATTGAAATGGATTTCCAATTGTTATAATAAACATATAGTGACTGTGAATGTGAATAATGCACTCCCCAAGTGCAGCTCTGGATATTATGTGGCTCATATAACTTCTGGAATGGGGTGAGAGTCAAGCTTGGAAGCCACACCAGTCATGAAACACTCCCAAACTATATTTCAGGCTCTAGGGACACCCACAGCTACTCCTGCTGGGCACAGACACCACAGCTCACTCTGCTTTCCTGGGCACTGGCGCTCCAGCTGGATCCTCTCTGTGGCTGCTTTGGAAGCTAGATGTCTTCCCGCCCCTGTCAGAATGAAGTCTGCAAAGTGCTTGCTTCTTCTAACCACTAGCTGCTGAAGCAGAATTGCTGAGGCTCCTCTGATTGATGAAGTCTGGGTCACTTGCACATATCCTAGATGCAGGAGATGCTGGGGAAGCAAGTTGCTGGATTCTACTTGGAGAGGTGCTGACTCATGAGGTTGGAAATCCCCAGATTTAGTAAGGGTATTCAAAGACCCTGAGGATCATCCATAAAGCACGACAAGTGTCCCTGAGTGCTGGCAAATATTGTGGTTAGCATTCCCTTCTCTCCTTGGTGTATCTTCTTTCAAACTTCTTAGTGTCCCCTTCCTATTATCATAAAATTGTAGCTTCTTCTAAGATCCTTCTGACTTGGTGAATTCTCTCTGGGAGTTTCGAGGGACATTTTCTTTCACTATGACTATCTCTGCCCTAATAAATCACTCCCACTGATGCTGATGGAGTGTGTTGGTTCTGTGAGATGTGATGGGGTGAGAAAGTGAGAACCACTGCTCTAAGGGGATGAGAGCGGAGTGGGGTGTGGTAGGGTGGGGGAGAAGATGGAGGATGGGAGGTGGGTAGGCTAGGTGCCAGGCCACAAGGCGGGAACAAGCTTGTCCTCCAGGTTAGGGGGAAGGCTAGTGCGGTGGATGCATGGAGAACAGAACACAGTTCCAGGTTTGGTCAGTGTGGTAGACAAAGTGGCCATGAAAAGGAGTTTGAATTTTGCTGGAAGCGAAGTTGCAAGGTTTAAGAAGAGAAGTGATTTTAAGGTGTGGAGCATGGATTTTAAGGGCAATAGTCTGGAAGCAGGAAGACCAGAAAGGATCTGTTGCAAGTGATGTTCATTACCGTGTTTTAAGATCCAGCTCAAATGTCACCTGCTTTTCGAAGCCGGCCTGATTTCCTCCGGCAGAGCCAGTCTCGCTTTCCTAAAGTCACCATGTTCCCTTGGACAGTCCACCATTTATGCTTCTTTCTCTCCCAGTAGGCAGTGAGTTCCTGGAGGGTCCCCTGAGCGCCTCCAGCCCTATGCTGCCATGATGGCTCTTCCGGAGAGGAAATGGGATGTAGGGAGAGCCTTTGAAGCTTCTGCGGGTACATGCTGTCCTTCCCGCTAACAGGGTTCTCTGGGGAATGTATGCTTGGCTTTCTATTCTCAGTAATATAAGTACAAATGTTTGTGGATGTTTGAAGCTCGGCTGACAGCATTTCTATTCATGCTGCTAGAATCTGTGAGGCTTTTCTTTTTTTAACGGAGAGCCCATAGCAAAACTTGGGTTACTTGGCTGGGGAAAGGAATGCAGTGTGACGACCAAGATGAAAGCTCGCGGCAAGCACACCTGGACGAAACGGGATCACAGAGGCCGGGGCCTCCTCAACGGGGATCCCGGGGGTCAGGCCCTGCGGGGGGAGGAGGGAGAATGGAGGAAGAGTAGCGGGTCGGACAGGCTGCGGCCATGGACAGGCCCAGGCCCTGGGTTCGAGAGAAGCAGAGCCGGGCTGGGAGGCGCCAGTGAAGCCCACCCAGACGAGGCCGGACGGGCGCCGCAGACATTCGGTTTCCGCCGCTGGAATGCGCGGACAGCGCTCCTTGTCCGCCCGGGGCGCTAGGGCGGGCTGGGTTTCCGAGTGGGCGTGGCCCAGGGTGGGCGGGGTTCCTGGGTGGGCGGGGCCCGAGGCCGCGGGACCTTTAAATCGGCCGCCGGGGCGCAGCGCACAGGCCCGCGAGCGAGCGACGCCCAGACGACCCCCACGGGAGCCGCCCCGAGCCCGCCATGCTGCGCCCCTTCCCGGGACTGCTCCTGCTGCTCTGGCCGCTGCTGCTGCTGCCGCCGCCCGCTGCTCCCGGCCTCCCGGCGCGCCCCGGCTTCTGGAGGCTGGTGCCCCGCGGCCCATTGGGCAGCCCCGGGCGCCGCTCCGCTCCGGCCGCCCCCTCCGGCGCGCCGACTCTGGGGCCCGGTCAGCCCGGCGGGGCGCGCGGCGCAGGTACGGCCCAGGCGGCGCGGGAGAGGGACTCTAGGACGAGAGGCCGCGAAGGGCACCCAGGAGGGACACCTGGCAGGAGGGAGGGGGAGATCCAGGGCTGGGGCCGGGAGGGAGCTGTAGGTGGGCAGGAGAATCTGGCATCGAATGAGGAGGGGAAACCTCGCTCACCTGCCCAGGGATGTGTTCCCTCCATCCCAGCCTGAGCTAGACCGTGGTGAAGAGAAAGAATCCCTCCTGTTGAATCCCATGGGGAAACTGAGGTCCAGAGAAGGAAGGGAGATGCTCGAGGTCACTCATACTCAGGGCTAGAATTTGGGTCTCCCGAAGCTCCAAACCAGCCACGTCGCTCTGCAATTTGGGCGGGGAGGATAGGGCAGCTGTGGGAGCGCCTGGGCGCCTCCCAGCTCCCTGTCCCAGTCCCTTCCTTTAGGTTAGGAAGAATAAACCCTTCCTGAGATTCTGCTTTTAGTTCTGGAAGTCACTCCATCTCTATCACCCCAGATCGCCGTGTGACCTTCTCTGCCTGACCCCAGCCCTCAGGTTGCCTCAGTCCCATCTAGGATCTAAGCCAGAACTGGAACTGGAAGGTCCAGGGTGGGGGTGTGAGGTCAGGAAAGAAACCTGAGGAGCCTCCCGGATGCCCCAGACCTGTCTTGTAACCATCCGGGTCTCACCCTCTGTTCTCCTGCCCCTGACCAGATGTTCTGCTTGAACTGATGGGCTTCAACTCCAGCCTGTGCTCTCTTCCATCCTCCAACACCCAAGACACTTTGGTCTTTGGTGAACAATTCCATTTCCCTTTTGGGTTAGTAGTTGGTTCCTGCGGTAGAACAAAGCTCCTGGAGCAGCAGAGCTGGAAGATCATCTGACACAATCCCTAACGGCATGCGCAGGGAAACTGAGGCTTATAAAAGTGAAGGAACCCAGCAAATCAGTTTCAGAGCCTGGAGTAAAACTCAGGGTCCTGATAGCCCAAGCAAAGGTCTTTCCGCTGCTCCAAGCTACCAAGCTCTTAATATGGTTTACATAAGATTTTTATCTTAATTACCAAAAAGTCCAGCTTCAGTCTTGCTAAAGAGAGGCTGCACCAAACCATTTTCTTGGTGTCCTGTCTCATCTGGCCAGTGATACTTCATGCCTAAGATTGATTTGTGTTGTCTATCCCTTCCTGCGCCTTTCTGAATAGTGCTGAGAAAGGGTACAAGGGATTCTTTCTTGCCCTAGCCCCTGCAGGCTGGATTTGAAATGATGGCAGCATTGTCATTGAGCTGGGAAGTGCCAGGATTCACGCGGGTTAAATTCTGCTTGTACCCAGCTGGTTGCTCCAGGCCAGGAAAAGGGGTAGGGGAAAGCTTTTCTTCTAAAAGTTAATCTTACCTCTGGTCCTGATGCTCCTCCCTCAGGGAAGGGACTGGGAGAGGGAGGAGAGATTCTGTATGGGGTGGCCATGTTCCCCTGAGCAGCACTGGTCCTTTATTACCTGGCATCGAAACCAATATTGAATGATAATCCTTTAATAAACACCACATTCCACCATTTTCCAAATTCCCTCCTTTTTGCAACCAGACATCACCAAGCTTTGCTGTGGGCTTTTATTTCTAGCAGGACTACCAGAAATTGGCGATATTGTGAGTATGGAAACATTTTAGGAAATTTGGATTCTCACTTTCTTGGTTTCTGAGACTCAGAGTGCTGCCATCTAATAAAGGAGAGTGAGATTCAGAAACAGATGTTGCAAAGGGGTCCGAATCAGGAAGTAACCAGATGCTCACAGAATTTCCTGCCATCCGGGTCAAGCCTCCTGTATTAGTTTTCCGTTCCTGCTGTAATAAATTACCATGAACTTAGTGGCTTAAAACAACGCACATGGACTTGAGAGATCTGTAGATGAGAAGTCTGACATTAGTCTCATTGGGCTACAATTAAGGTGTCAGCAGGGCTGCATGCCTTTTGGAAGGATCTGGGGGAGAATCGGTTTCTTTGCCTTTTTCAGCTTCTAGAGGCTGCCCTCATTCCTTGGCTCATGGCATTTTCCCTCCGTTTGTCAAAGCCACCAAAGGCGGGTTGAGTCCTTCTCACATGTCATCACTCAGATCTCCTTTTCTGCCTCCCTCTTCCACTTTTAGGGGCCTTTGTAATTACATTGGACCCACCTGAATAATCCCGGATAACCTCCCCGTCTCAAGGTCTTTAACTTAATCACATCTGCAAAGTCTCCTTTGTCATGTAAAGTAGCATACTTACAGGTTCCGGGAGTTAGGACATGGACAGCTTTGGTGGGGTGGGGGTGGGGGTGCCCACCACACCCCCGTAGCCCCCCACGGAGGATTCCGTGTGAAAAGCCAACCAGACAAGGAAGGAATCATGCACATTTACTTATAAGACCATAACCTTGATATTGGTAAGGACACCATTTGGGTGTTAGTGAAAGCACTGTCAAATATGGGGTTCCTATTCACCATGCATTTTTTCTTTTACTCCAAATATGCAAAAATACTAGATCCATCTCCAGGAAGGATTTTCAGGATGGTTCTTCCTTGCTCCCGATGCATGGTAATCAGGGATGAAATGAAATTCTAGAGTCGTTGTTTTAAAAAAAAGACAATTCCTTTTTTTTTTTAGATTGGCACCTGAGCTAAAACTGTTGCCAATCTTCTTTTTCTTCTTCTTCTTCTTCTTCCCAAAGCCCCACGTTACCTAGTTGTAGATTCTAGTTGTGAATGTCTCTGGTTGTGCTATGTGGGACGCCACCTCAGCATGGCTTGACGAGTGGTGCCATGTCTGCGCCCAGGATCCGAACCGGCGAAACCCTGGACCACCAAAGCAGAGCACGCAAACCTAACCACTCGGCCCTGGGAGTGGCCCCTAATTCTTTTGACTTAATTAAATACATGACATACAGCATATTTGAGGTTGATGGCTCAAAGTCAACAAGCAAGGTGTTTACCAGGTACATGAGATAATGTTGATTTTGTGGTGTAAAATGTTGCCTCAGAGAGAGGCAACCATGCACTGAAAAGCCCCTTTGGGCTGAGAGTCAGGAAACTCGGAGTCCCATCCATGTTCTACCACTTTCTAGATCTCACGCCTCCCTGAGACTCAGGTTTCTCACTTGTAGAATGGGCGTAAAAACAACCTCTGCACTTCTGACTTCACAGGGCTGTTGTGTTGGTACCCTGTGATCTCTAAAGTGTTATTGAAAGTAAGATTATTTATTTTATGAATTGAATACCTCCAGGAAGCGGGATAAAACCAAGAGGATAATTTCCAGGGTTTTTTTCTTTTCAAAAATTTTTTTCTATTTTATTTTTTATTGAGGTTATGATAGTTTACAACCTTGCGAAATTTCAGTTGTACATTATTATTTGTCAGTCATCTTATAGGTGCACCACTTCTCCCTTTGTGACCACCTCCCCCCTTCCCCTGGCGACCACTGATAATTTTCAGTTTTTTTAAGATTTTATTTTTCCTTTTTCTCCCCAAAGCCCCCTGGTACATAGTTGTATATTTTTAGTTGTGAGTCCTTCCAGCTGTGGCATGTGGGACGCCACCTCAACACAGCCTGATGAGCGGCACCGTGTCCGCGCCCAGGATCCGAACTGGCGAAACCCCCGGCTGCCGAAGCGGAGTGTGCAAACTCAACCACTTGGCCACGGGGCCGGCCCCAGTTTTCAGTTTTTAAAAGAAAACTACAGAGGCATAATTCTTGTTCCACATAGGACTTTTTCTGTTATCAACTACTTAGCCTAGGAATTTATTTTCCATCCATCTTTCTTCACTACTCACTGAGCACATTGCCTTTTTAGAGTAGCATCAACTTCCAGCCCCCTATTAGGAAAGGAAAGAACCCCGATTCACACTTTGTGCTCAGGAATGATCTCATTTCCATTGTACAACGTGTGTGTGCGGCCCCTGCGTGTGCAAGGAGAGAAGGGGGAATGATTTGAAAAAGACGTAATAACTGGCTTCTCTCTTAGCCAGTCCTGACTTTGGGATTTGATTTTGCTGGCGAGGAGAGGGAGGAGTGTAGAATGAGACTGGGGGGAAAAGGATAAGAAGAAGAGATGAAAACAAAAGTTTACTGTGTTACTACAATGTGCCAGGTCCTTTTGTGGAGGAAAGATATGAGTTCCTTGAGGAAGCAGGAAATCTGGCTTATTGGCTTTTGTAGCCCCAGAGCTTAATACATGGTAGACCCTCAAAAACATATTTGGTGAATGACAAAATGAAAGAGAGCTGCCTGAGAGAGTTTGGGGCTGGGGGGGTGGAGGTGGGGTGGGGGGGTGGGGGTGGGGTGGGGCGGGGCAGTAGGATAGATCCAGGTGGAAATCGCTGCTTTTTAAAACAAGGCACACTCACAGAGTTGGAAGTAATCATGGATCTGATTAAGTTGTCGATCCTCTTTCTACTTTACACTAGCTCAGGCTATTTGGGCCCCAAAGTTCACGAAACATGAGTGAGTGACACATGGAGGGAGAATTTAGGGCTGCTCTGGAGCAGTTTTCTTCCCTTTGGAAGTGGAGTAAAAGAAAGAAGCCACCAGAAGAGCACAATTGTGCCTCGCCTCAGACTCAGCCGCTGTCCGAGGGGTCTGGAAGGCCTTGTAGGGGAGTGTGAGTGAGGCTGCCCCAAGTTCACCTTTTACACTGTTCAGGACACTTTGTCCCATTGCCTCAGATGGTCGAGGTGCCCAGGAAAGGTCTGGAGTCCATTCATTCCTGGAAGTCAAGAGGAACCTTGGGGACAAACCCTTAAGCAGAAGGGTGAGGTTCTAAGTGAAATTCCAGGGCTCAGCAGCCTGTAGGTGAGATATTTGAGGAAACTGGGTGCCTCGATGTGAATCCTCACTAGGGAATTCTGAAGGCCTTGGTGTTTTCAACATCCAAGGGCAGGATGGTCTTCAGGAAGATAGCAGACAGTGGGGTATTTGGGGATGCTCCCCTGCCTGGCCTCTAATCCCTGAGCTCTCCAGTGTGAGGATTGCCCCATTTCTGATTGCTGTCTGATCATTGCTTAGTCTTTTCTGTTCCCCACACCCTTCTTTGCAGGTGTTTGCAAGAGCAGGCCGTTGGACTTGGTTTTTATCATCGACAGTTCTCGAAGCGTCAGGCCCCTGGAGTTCACCAAGGTGAAAACATTTGTCTCCCAGATAATCGACACTCTGGACATTGGGCCGGCGGACACGCGAGTGGCAGTGGTGAACTATGCTAGCACCGTGAAGATCGAGTTCCATCTCAACACCCACTCGGATAAGCAGTCCTTGAAACAGGCTGTGGCTCGAATCACACCCTTGTCTACAGGCACCATGTCGGGCCTGGCCATCCAGACAGCGATGGATGAAGCCTTCACAGTGGAGGCGGGAGCTCGGGTGCCCAGCTACAACATCCCGAAGGTGGCCATCATCGTGACAGACGGGAGGCCCCAGGACCAGGTGAATGAGGTGGCGGCTCGGGCCCGGGCGTCCGGTATTGAGCTCTACGCCGTGGGCGTGGACCGGGCAGACATGGAGTCCCTCAAGGTCATTGCCAGTGAACCCCTGGACGAGCACGTCTTCTACGTGGAGACCTATGGGGTCATTGAGAAACTTTCCTCTAGATTCCAGGAAACCTTTTGCGGTAAGTCTTTGCTTCCAGCTGAAAAGGAATGTTATATTCAGACGTTGTGTAGCCCTTAAAAAAAAGAGATTTATTTTTTATTTTTGGTAGAAATTTTATGGAAAATTTAAATATAAGCGATGCTTTTTTGTGTTTTTTACCAACTTAAACACATGTTGTTGGTTTAGAAATATTGAGCTGCCTTATGTATAACTTGGTTTGCTCATAAAATCTTCATGTTTGCATTAGAAATGCGAAGGTCTGGAAATATCCAGGATAAATGATCCTGCTGTTCCTTCATGGGGTCAGAAAAAAATAAAAATAAAAAACGCAAGACACCTCTCTTCTCCCCTCTGCCCACCACTACATTTTTTCCAGATATTTTCTTTAGCTTTACCATCTCTAGATTTAACAGAACTAGGCTTGTTTTCCTGCAGAAGACAGGGAGCTGTGTCTGTCCGTGGAAGGATCAGCTGGCCTGGATGCCAGCGTAACTGTCAGGCCGAGTGTCCATTTAGTGAATACTCTAGTTTTCAGATTTGGCTCTTTCTCTGATTATTCTTTGTGGGGGCACAGCATTAGGAATCAGGGACGTGGGGATTTCAGTTCACTTGAGAACAGGAAGCATGTTTTTTTTTTTTAATCATTCTTTCATCCTTCTGCTTCTTTCTTCCTTTAGGATGGAGTTGGAATATGAACATGCTAATTTAATTAGAATTTTTTTAGCATAAATTAGCCAAATCCATGAATATGAATTCATTCAAGGCTGACGTTTAGTTTTAGTCACTGATCAGAATTATGAATTTGTGGACTCATACTTTATTTTTATTTTTAAATTTTCTTATTTGTAATTTGTATCTGGTTACCTATGTTTATTCATGTTTTAATCTTTTATCATTTGGAGGTAATCTTTCAAAGCCCTCTATGGAATCATCCAAGTCAGTGTGGACAAATTTCTAGTCCTAGAGAGTTTTAAAACATAGGTCCCTTTTGCTGTAGTATATCTATTCCACATTTATTTATTCAACACACATTTATTGATCCCTGATGATACAAAGACAAAGGTAGTCTCTCCCTCCCTTCAAGCAACAGTCTATGGAATGAGACAAACAAGTGAACCGATAATTATAACTGTAAATTTCAAGGAGACTTTATATCTAAATTAATGTGAAACTCAGCAGTCGCGGGTTTGTCAGGAAATGGGAGATGAAGTCTTGGTCTGGAGCAAAGTTTGACCTCATCTCAGCCAGACTTGGCAGGTCCCCTTGTCTTTCCTGTCCCAGAACACTGGGCCTTGACACGCCGTCATTGGCTTTGGTGGTATCTACGTAACATTCATTAGTTTCCCAAAAGAAAATGGCTTTCTTTCTCCCAGGAAACCCCCCTGTGCTTGTGGGTGAGAGCTTTTCCGTAGAGATGGTGGTCTGTGGCAAAGTTGGGTCTCAAAGCTAGCACCTGGGTTGGGCTTGAAGGCCATAAAAGTAACAAGTGGTGAGTGGCAATCTTTTCCTTCTGGTACAAAAGACCTGCTTGTTCTGGGGGGAAAATGTCCTCTCTATGGAAAAAAGACTGAGGGGCAGCTTGTTGTAGTCAACGGGCTGGAAAGATCATTCCATGAAAGGGCCCTTCTTGGGAAAATATTAGCCTTGTCCTGTTGCCAAAGCAGTGGAGGCTGGGTTACCTGACACGGGGGTGCCAGCCTCCTCCAACAGGCCTCCTTGGTTTCTCAGAAATGACTAAATTCATTGATTCTCCTTTCAAAACATGTCATAGGAAAAAAATCCAATGAGATGTAAACAGCTCCAGGAGTAAAAAGATGGGGATGCAGTTTAGCGAACGTAATCTCATCTATTTTGTTCTTCTTTTTCTTTTTATCTGTTTGTATATAGCATATAAGTTTACTCTCCTTGCAGACGTTAAATGCTCTGAAGTTGCATACTATCCATTTGGGCTCCAGAACCCCTGCTGCATATTTAGAAGGCAGCTACCCACGTAGCCCTCCACCATCTGCATGTTCAAATATGTATTGCCGCCCGAGAGTGAGTGAGTTCCAGGCCTAGAGGAACACCTGAGGGTGAATTTTGTTTAGAATTCAAACTACAGAACCCTTGGAAACTGGATTCTGACTGCAGTGGGACAACTAGCTCATAGACCTTCAGGAAGCGCGTTATTCTTCTCCTCATTTCTTAGAGTTGGGAAGCAAAAGTCTTTTTCTTGGGCAGATTGATAAGTTGAATAAAGTGTCAAGTTGCCTGACCCTTGTGAGTGTTTGGCTTCAGGTCCAAATTCAAAATTCCCTTTCTCCTTTGAGAAAGTCAACAACAAGGTCTGTGATTTTAAATTAGTAACATTACTAGTTTAAGAGTGGTGTTTATTATTAATAAGCCAGGGGCAGAAATCAAATAGCCGATTTTTACAGTGAACTAAAGATCGAATCGGAGGGGAACCCGGAGAGCGATGCCTTTTCGACTTGGGAAAAAACTACCTGCAATGCTTCTTTCGTGTCGACACTGACTGTTGTAAACTTCTTGCACAGCTCCGGACCCGTGCATGCTTGGCACACACCAGTGCCAGCATGTATGTGTGAGTGACGGGGAAGGCAAGCACCATTGCGAGTGCAGCCAGGGCTATTCCCTGAATGCCGATGGGAAGACGTGTTCAGGTGAGGCCTCCTCAAGGGATGGTGCTGACTAGAACTTATCTGGGGACTCACTCTCTACGTTTTGGACTCGCCTTATGTTTTTCTCCTAACTGCCTTTTGGCTGGTTTACTGTTGTCTAGCAACAATTTTTCTTGAAAAGAACACGAGGAGAAAAGTGAAATAATACACAAATCAGCTTATTACAAACTTACTACTAGTTTTAGAGAAAAAGGTTAGTAGGAAAAAGTGCTTACTGGCCCTTACTAGCCTTCCTTACTAGGAAGGGGGCCAAAACTCTTGGTCCTTTGGAGGATTTGGAATTTTTCCTGGATTTTATTTAATTAAATTCAAGCTACCCCTTTGTCTGTATGACCATAGATGCTCATGGAATCTGGGAGTGGAAGAAAATTTAGAGAGGTCCTCACTCTTCTGGTATATGAATGCTCACATAAAGTCAATGAAGAATGGAAATTAGATCCACTTTTTTAAATCCTAGAGAAACGTTTTGAGAGGAAGAAATCTTAGAGATCATTTAATTCAACCTACTGATTTTAGAGATAATGAAATTGAGACCCAAAGAAGGAAAAAGACTTACGTATGTCATGAGGTCTGTTAATGAAAGAGTCAAGACCAGGAAGTTGGTTCGCAACCTCTGGTTCAGTAGCCTTCCTCTTGTGCCAAGCTGCCCCATTTCATTAGAAGTGTGTGTGTGGGTGGGTGTGTGGCCTGTATTTATTCACCACATGTTTTCTATGTGTTCACACTGATAGCTATCGATAAGTGTGCTCTGAACACTCATGGATGTGAACACATCTGTGTGAACGAGAGAACTGGCTCCTATCATTGTGAGTGCTACGAGGGTTATACCTTAAATGAAGACAGGAAAACTTGTTCAGGTGAGTTTAACCTGTGGCGGAGGATTTTCTCTTTCTCCCTCCTTCCCTAGCCAGCGTTGGAGGGGGAGGTCACGTTGATGGGGAACTTGGTCTGTTTTCCTCTCTTGCCACCCTTGGACTTTTCCCATTTCTAAGTCTTATTAGAAAAGTTAGAAATGGCAGCATGTGTGTATCATGGCCCACATGTGTAGTGTGTTATTCATTTCCTTCTCTGTACCCAGCTAACAGGCCTTTCCAAATGCTAAAGTCAATTTAGTAAGTTAAGATCAAAGAACATTCCAGAAGATACTTACTACTTACAAAGGGAAAAACAGTAACTTCACAGTGGAGAAATCTGGCAGACACCACTTTAACCAAGTGATCAAAGTTAACATCACCAGTAATGACACATAGTGACATTGTGCGTCTCCTGACATGACACAGTGAAGGCACAACAGCTCCTCTGTGGTATTCTTGCTAAAATTTCAGAATCCTGAGGAAACATTAGACAAACCCAGATTGAAAGACATACTACAAAATAATTTTCCAGTACTTTTCAAAAGTGTCAAAGTCATGAAAGACAAAGACAGACTGAGGAAATGTCCTAGATTGGAGGAGACTAAGGAAATGGGACAAGTTAATGCACTGTGTGATTCTGGATTGGACCCTGGACCAGAACAAGGACGTTAGTAATGGAACAACTGGCAAACTCTGAATGATTAGAGTAGTAGATTTGTAATGAATGAATCTGTGGATTCGTTAATAATATTGTATCAGTGTTAATTTCATTTCCTGGTTTTGATAATTATATGGTTATATAAGATGTTAACATTTGGGAAACTGGGTGAAGTATAGTACTTTGTACTATTTTTGCCTCTTTTATAAGCCTGAAATTATTTCAAAATGAAAAGTTTAAAAATAAAAAATACTTAAAAAATATCATGTCAATGCAGAGAAAAGCTCACTGAATAAAAATTTGAGTCTTGAGTTCTGATGTTGGTCTGAATCAGTTGGTCTCCTTTGGACTCAGTTTCCTGATTTATAACAGGAGAGGGTACAACTATAATTTCTCAAAGCTGTATGTTTTTCTGAATCTTGTGTAATTAGCCTCAGCTCTTAGAATCCCTCTGATTCGGTACAAATACAATAAACCTAAAAGGAATACTTTAGAAAGTATTTACGAGATACTTAGATGATAAAAACTCAATGTAGATGATTTTGAAAAGGAGTTGGAGAAAGTAGAAGAATAATTATTGTGTGCGTAAGATTTTGTTTAACTCAGCTACTTCTAGTAAGAGTAAATATTACTGATGGCTTTGAATGGTTTCTAATAAGCTTTCCTCTTATATATTTCTGTCCGCAAATAAGAAAATATCTATCTATAGGTAATAAAAGACTTCACACTTAATTTCTTTTCTCCTTGACTTTGGTTTGGCAGCTCAAGATCAATGTGCTTTTGGTACACACGGCTGTCAACACATTTGTGTGAATGACAGACCTGGGTCCCATCACTGTGAATGCTATCAGGGCTACACTCTGAATGAAGATAATAAAACGTGTTCAGGTAAGTCTTCACTCAACACATTCTTTCATACTTGGCTCTTTCTATTGCAGTGAAACCAACTTGCAATTCACAAGGCGAGAGATTCTTTTTTTTCTCCTTTTTTTAAAATTGAGGTTATGATAGTTTACAACATTGTGAAATTACTGTTGTATATTATTATTTGTCAGTCATCTTATGGGTGTGCCCCTTCACCCTTTGTTTCCACCCCCCACACCCTTTCCCCCTAGTAACCACTAATCTGTTCTCTTTGTTTATCGTCCACATATGAGTGGAATCTTAGGGAGTTTGTCTTTCTCTATCTGGCTTATTTCACTTAACATAATACCCTCAAGGACCATCCATGTTGTTGTGAATGGGACGATTTTATCATTTTTTATGGCTGAATAGTATTCCATTGTATAAATATACCATGTCTTCTTTATCCAGTCATCAGTTGATGGGCGCTTAGGTTGCTTGCATGTCCTGGCTATTGTGAATAATGCTGCAATGAACATAGGGGTACATGAGTCTCTTTGAATTGCTGATTTTAAGTTCTTTGGATAGATACCCAGTAGTGGGATGGCTGGGTCATATGGTATTTCTATTTTTAATTTTTTGAGAAATCTCCATACTGTTTTCCATAGTCGCTGCACCAGTTTGCATTCCCACCAGTAGTGGATGAGGGTTCCTTTTTCTCTACAACCTCTCCAACATTTGTTATTTTTTTGTCTTGGTTATTATTGCCATTCTAACGGGCATAAGGTGAAATCTTAGTGTAGTTTTGATTTGTGTTTCCCTGATGATCGGTGATGATGAGCATCTTTTCATGTAAGGCGAGAGATTCTTAAAGGTAATTTAAAGAAATGGGCTTTAGACATTCTATGGTGCTGTCAGACCAAGGCTCACATTTCTCAGAGGGCAATGAGCTCATTAGATTTTGCGAACATCACTCACTTCAGAAAATTGCTGGAAATGGGTAGGGAGTAGGGGATATGAGAAAAGTGAATTGAATGTAGGATCCCTATTCAGGAAAATTTTATAGCTCTGTACACTGGGGACTTGTAAAACAAATAGGAAACTTTGGAGGAAGCAGTTGGAGAGTAACTGGTGTGATAGGCTGAACTGATCTTTTTCCAATTAAAACTTGGCCTGGAACTTCTCTGTAGCGTTAATCTTAAAGCTGGATCGTTTTAGTAAAGGGGACTTTGTAAATGACTGAATTAGATCTTCTAGTGAGTTTGAAGCAAGTCCTTCCTGACAGTTTCTAGATGACCAATCTTCAGTGAATCTGAGCCTACGCCTTGGGTAATAAGCGCATGCCAGTACTGCTAATCCTCATTAATTTGATTTAAACACACTGGCAGAGCAGGGTGATATTTATAATGTAAAAAGACTCCTAAGAGAAATTCCTAGCTTTCCAGGTGGTGTTTAGTTTGGCCTATTGAATATTTTCTAAGATTGTATGTGTATTTTCCTGTCTCTTGAGGAGATATATTATGCGACCTTTTCAAGAGAGATTAAGGGAAATGGCATATCACCAATTCTATTTTTTTAAAAAATGAAATTAATGAAAGAGTACTGAACACCTATTTTGTCCCCAGGACTGTGCTAAGCGCTGTGGAGCATATTTTCTGCCTCTCAGCCACTTATGGCCTGGGTGCAAAGAGAACCAACGCCTTAGGAAAGCAGAGACTAAGTAGCCAGGGGGAAGGACTGCCAGTAACTAAGGGCTGTGGAGGCAGGGCGGGTGGGACTGGAGATGGGCCTCAGGGGATGGGAAGGTTTAGGTGGAGGAGTTTAGATGGGGAAGGTTTAGATGGAGCACAGGCAAGGGGGTGGCTTCTGTTGTTTTGTTCAGGGGGTAAGACTAAATCAACTAGGGTGGGAGGACTCAGGGCTGTGCTACTTAAACTGCTTACAAGGATCCCACTTAGTACTGTAAGCTGCCAAGAATGTTGAAGAGCTTGGGAAAGGAAACGAAAACAAATTTACGTTTAAACTAACAGATACTATGGAACAAATGGAACATTTTATTTAAAAAAAAACATGAAACATCAAAGAAGAATTTCAATTAAGGTGGACTACTCCAGGCAATACCAGATACCAGGCAGGTACCCAACATTCTTCAATGCCTGCTGTATGCCATACACGAGTTTAGAGACAGTCAGACAGCTAATGATCACAGAACCTTATGAAGAAACTGAGGCACAGACAGATTAAGTAACTTGCCCATGGTCACTTGGCTAGTGAGTAGCAGAGCCAGGATTTGAACACAGGCCCTTGCTCTGGTGGTTACGTATGCTGTTAAACGGTAAGCCATACTAAGCTATACTATCTCATGGTGCAAAGCACCACAGAGCTAAGGGAGATAGAAGAGAAATACAAGACAACCCACAGTGTTTATAGACTTTAAAGTAATAATGATTACTGTTCCCAAACTGAAGTATATAACATGGGTCAGAGCCATCTAATGATCTGCTTTCCCCTTGCTGGGTAGTAGGAAGTCTTGTAAATTAAGTGTGGAGCCCCAGATCAGAGGCCAGGGGGTGGACGCATGCCCAGCTGGTAATTCTAGAGTTGCTGCTAAGCTGGGATGAGGGAAAAATGAAACGTTCTGCTCTTAGACGTTTTACTGAGACAATCTGAATTGTAGTGATGAAGGGGGATGTCAGAGTTTAAGTTGGAAAGACACTTCATGGGTAGATTACAGAGGGCTTTGCATTTCACACAAAGCTAGTTTATAGGCAATGGTGAGCCATGGAAGGCTTTTGAGCATGGATGACACTTGAGAGTTAGAGGGGAACAAATAAGCTGGTTTGGGCCCTGCAAAGGCAGAAGAACCTGTGTCTGCCAGGAAGCCTTTCTGGGTTTACTGAAGGAGCGTTGCTGTTTTCAGTTGTCCTGGGCCAGTTGGGTCATGGGACTAGAATGCCACTTTTCTCTGCTCCCCACTCAAATTTGGGCAAACTGTCTTCCTCTGTGAAATGTATTTACTTGTGACAGGTGATAAATACTTCACCATCCAATTGTCCGCATCATCATCATCATCACCATTATTGGTTATTGTTTTTCTCTCTGTCTGCATGCGTGCACATGTGTGCATATGTGTGCGGGTGTGTGTGTGCCCAGGTCACTGTTTTCTGCCCTACTTTGTAAGCTTGCAAAGGCATGCCCTTGGGCCATGTAGTCCTTTTTGTGCAGCATCACACTTGGCTCTGTGTGCAAATAGGTCCCTGATAAGTTATTTATGGTGATGGCAACGCTGATCCACATATAGCTGGAAACGTTGGAGGCACGGATGGTCAAGACTCAGTGCAGCCCCAGTGCTGCAGGTAGGAAAAAAAAGGCACCCCCAGATATCTACAAAAAACAAAAAAGGAAGGAGTGTACACAATACAAGGTGAGGCTAAAGGGATGTGAGATGTGGAGTGGAAAATAGACTTTTTCCTTCTGGAACATGAGAGACTTGTTACTGACAACTGAGAGATTTCTTCTCTGCACTTTTTGGGACCAAAGTGAAGCTTTTTCTCCCAAAAGTCTGCGTTTAGCTTCCTGTTGTGATCTGTGAATATTTTTTCCTTGCGCCCCTCCTGGTTAGTTCGTAACAGGTGCGCTCTGGGCACTCACGGCTGCCAGCACCTGTGTGTGAGTGACGGGGCAGCGTCCTACCACTGCGAATGTTACCCAGGCTTCACCTTGAATGAGGACAAGAAGACGTGTTCAGGTAAAGACTGTCTCTTTAAGCCTATTTTGTTTGGTGGGGAAATCTTCTAGGAGTAGCTTTCCCCTCTCCAAGTCTGAAGCTCAGTTCTGAGGCTTTCTCCGGGTCAGAATCCTTGAGTCATTCCCAGCTGCCTTCAGAAGGAAGCCATTCTACTCCTCCACCAGGCATTCTTCCCTCTGTGATCTGATTCCATCCTCTCTCTGTGTGTTTTTCTTGCTAATTTCGGTCTCTTCTTATCTGAGTCGGGGTTTTTTTGTTGTGGTAATAAAATACACATAACATACAATTTGGCATTGTAACCATTTTAAGTGTACAGTTTGGTGGCATTAAGTACATTCACGTTGTTGTGCAATCATCACCACTATCCATCTCCAGAACTTTTTTATTATCCTAAAGTAAAGCTCTGTGCCCATTAAACAGTAACACTCCATTACCCTCTGTCCCTGTGCCTGGGAGCCACTCTTCTTCAATCTGTCCCTACATTTGCCCCCAGGTTCCCTCCTTCTCCCCAAGTCCTGTGGTCCAGCCACCTGGACTATTTGAATTCCGGGAGCATGCCCTGCAAGCTCCTGTTTCCATCCTTTGCTGTGATCCACTTCCCTCACCACTTTTATTTGTCAAAATCAAGAACCATATCCTTGCCAACGTTTGGTTTTGTTGGATTAAATTTTTGTCAATCTAGTGGATGTAAAGAAGTATCTCCCCATTGTCTTTATTTTTCCATTTCCTGGTTACCAGTGAGGTTAAGCATCTCTTCTTATGTTTATTGGTCATTTGAGTTTCTTATTTGGAAATGCTATTTATTCTGTTTTTGTATTTTCCTATTGGGTTATTTGTATTTTTCTTATGGATTCATAGGAACTCTTCACATTTATGGATATAAATTCTGTGTTGTTCTTATGTGTTACAGATATCTTCTCGTAGATTGTGTTTATCTTTACTTCTTAAATGATGTCTCTGTAACAAAATTCATGATATTTTAATTCTTAAGTAGTGCAGGTTTTTTAAATTTATTTTTATTTTTAGTAGTGTTTATTTTTATTATGCTTTATAACTTACATAAGTGTTCTATAAACTACTTTGCATGAATCAAATATTACCAAATAATGTTTGTTTGTTTGTTTCTTTTCTAATTTCCAGGGCTAGTTCAGCTTTCACCCCCTCTACCAGAGTTCCCCTTATCCTTCTATTGAAACTTATCCTCTCTTTCAGCACCAGACACCTTGTGTGGTGGTGGTTACTTGTGTGTGTTCCTTCAATCATTCCTTCATCCATTCAATATATATAGCACCTACTGTGCTCTAGGCACTAGGTATTCAGTTGTGAACAAAACATGTATGGTCTTTGCTAACGGTATAGGGGAGAAGGACAAGTCAAAAGCAAAGTTATAAGTTAATAAGAGCAATGATAGAAACGAACAGGGTCCTGAGAGAATGGGAGTTGAAGGAACCTACTTCAGGTCGGGAGTGGAAGAAGTGACATTTGAGACTCGTGGATCAGCCGTAGTTAGGTTGAGACTGGAGTGCTGGGAAAAGAGGGAGGGAGAGCCATGCCACGTCCTGTGTGGTGGCTTTAATGGGGAGAGGAAGTGAAAGGCAGCTGGTGTGATGGAAGCACGATCAGCCGGGGGAAGTGTGGTGTAAGATAGTTTGGAGAGTTAGGCAGGGGCCAAACCATGCTGATCTTCTGGCTTAAGGGAAAGGAGTTTATTTTTTATACTTCGGGAAATGGGAAGTCATTGGAGGGTTTTAAGCAGTGGAGTAACATAATTCTGTTTACATTTTTAAAAGTCACTCTAGCTGCTGTATGAAGAGCAGACTGGAGAGGATGAAGAGCAGAATGGGGAGAAGAGTTTGGAGGCTATTGCAGTGGTCCAGGCTTGGGTTAGGATGGTGACAACGGTGATAGAAGTAAACAGATTCAATGAAGGAGGTAGAATGAACAGGGCTTGGTGATATATTGGATGTGGGGGATAAGGCAGGGGAGGAATAAGCATGGCTTTCATATTTCAGACTTGAGCAACGAGGAGGATGGGGTGTCTTTATTGAGGTGAGGAAGACTGAGGGTGGAGCAGATTTGAGGGAGAAAAGTCAGGAGTTGAGTTTTGGACTCATGTTATGCTCCTGCAGATTGCAAACCCCAACCCCCAAGGGCAGTAGGTTTTGTCTGTATTCCCAGCATCTACCATAACACCCCACGGTTACTCAGTGGATATTTCTTCACTCAAAGTAAAGTATGGATCAGTTTCTTGGGGTCTAAGAAGGAGCAGCTTCCTTTTAGAATTTGAATTCGTCTGGCTACCGTCACTCTACCTAAGTGTTCAATCTTCAGAAATATCAGTCTTGGGCATTTTTTCTTCTCCTGGAAGCTGGGGAATCCAGCATGATTATAATGGTTTAGGCTCTGACCTCATTTGTTTAGCCATTCACTTACTGATTTGCTCAGCAAGTATTCATGGAGCTACTGTTCTATGTCGAGTATCCTATTAGGTCCTGAGGAAGGAACGGGAGACAATCAAGGTTTTGTCATTTGCAGGGCACAAGTCTTGCACTTCTTTTGTTAAAATTACTCCTACATATTTTATTCTTTTTGATGCTATTGTGAGTGGATCCATCTCTCAACTTTCAATTGTGCTACATTCCAGTTTTCCAATTTTCTATGTTTTAATTAGAATATCCCACTGAGGCCCCTGCCCTCACAGGGCTTATAGTCTATCAGGCAAGACAGACACTAGAAAAGTCTCTAATGTATCCATTTTATCCTCTGTACAGGGATGCTGGGCATGTCCTTGATATTCAGTAGATACTTTCTGGCATACTGACTGATTGAGATGGGATTTGAGCTGGTTGTCCCCAAAGGTTTGACAGGATTTGGATAGATAGATTATATTCAATCAAGTGAATTTACAGTCTAAGTGCTGTATCATATCTTTATAGAGTATGGGAGAAAATGTAGGTGCAAAGGACCACTTCCTGTCCTCAGGCAACAGTGCCGGAAGATTGTACAGACATTAGTACTACTCAGTTGGAAGATTGTTCCTCAGTCTGCAGACCTGGGAAGTTACTCTTACTTCTGTCGGGCAACTTTCGGGGCTCTGGTATTGAGTAGGAATAACTGCACTGAATTAGAGAAAGCAATGGGAGTCAGCATTATCATTCTCCCAGCTTCTTTGCTTAAATGTCAAGAACACCTAAATTTTTGGTTTCAAAGTATTTATGAGTGAGAACTAGAAATCTCAATTCAAACCATTCAATAGACTAGTAGTCTGTATAGGAAATCAGGGATTATCTAGTTTTAATCCTTGAAATATTTGGCTGCACAAATAGAGGACTGTTTTCCTCATTTTCATTTCTTAGTGAGGACACAGTATCACAAGGTTAATTGATCTAGCTCCACATTCTTGGCTTCCCCCTACACCATCTTTTAAAAATTTACTTCGTATCATGGAACATTTCAATGACAAGAGTAAAGGAAATAATATAATGAACTCTCATATAACCATCACCCAGGTTTGACAACTGTAATCTTTTCCCAACATCTCCTAATACAATTTCTTCTGTGACATTAACATGCCAAAGTATTTTCTCCTCTTTCTGTGTATTCTTATATGCTTTTACCTCTCAGAAAAATGCACTTAGGTAAGTGTCAAAAATGGAAATATTGGGACTGGCCCCGTGGCCGAGTGGTTAAGTTCTCGTGCTCCACTGCTGGCGACCCAGTGTTTCGTTGGTTCGGATCCTGGGCGCAGACATGGCACTGCTCATCAAACCACGCTGAGGCAGCATCCCACATGCCACAACTGGAAGGACCCACAATGAAGAATATACAACTGTGTACTGGGGGGCTTTGGGGAGAAAAAGGAAAAAAATAAAATCTTTAAAAAAAAATTAAAAAAAAAAAAGTGGAAATATTAAGGGCCAGCCCCAGTGACCCAGTGGTTAAGTTCGGTGTGCTCCGCTTTGGTGGCCTGGGTTCAGTTTCTGGGTGCAGACCTACACCACTCTTCCGTCAGTGGCCATGCTGTGGTGGCAGCTTACATACAAAAAGAGGAAGGTTGCAGCAGATGTTAGCTTAGGGCAAATCTTCCTCAGGGGGGGAAAAAAAGGAAAGATCGAATCATAGATTTCCTGATTTGCTATGATGTCTAATTAGCTATCACATTTTGTGTACTGTCATTGTCATCAGCCATTGAAGAAGCGCGAAGACTCATCTCCACAGAAACAGCTTGTGGGTGTGAAGCCACACTGGCATTCCAGGATAAGGTCAGCTCCTATCTGCAGAGGCTGAACACCAAACATATCCTTTCTGGAAGGTTTTCTGCTTCTCCTTGAAGCCAACTAGGTACTATAATTGAGCCAAACATTTTAGGATATTCCACAGGATAAGACCCATGTTAAGTTTTAAGATGAGCAATAGTATTACACAGCTTTTATTTTTCAAATTGAGTTCTTTTAAAATGTTTTAATAGACCATTGCACCCATTTAATACTTACATGTAAAAGCTGCCCAGCTATTTCTTTCTCGTGCTTTTCCATGGCAGTACATGCTCCTAACTGAGCTCTCAGTAACACATGGAGCTATTATGCTGATTCCTCCATGTGGCCTTCTTAGTTCAGAATCTGTACTGTACAGAAGGAGTCAGCTGATTGGTGGGGTGTGACAGCTCAGATGACACATAATTATACACTTTGGCTACCCACGTGGTCAAAAAGCAGATTTCAAAATATAACATGGTACCATCTCAGAAACTTTCAAAATCAGTTCTTTAGTCAAAGGAGTAATTTAGGAAAAGTACTTTTTCTTAGCACAGCTCAAGTTAACAATACTGTTCCTAGGGACTTTAGAAGAGTGCCAAATTGTGATGGGGACACCCTAGGAGTAGCAGAGACTTTCGGGGGGTACACAGAATATTTTAAAGAAATCTGTTTTCAAATCCTTCACTTCCTTAAATTGATCTGCCTAAAATGCTACTTGGGGTCAGCTGGCATTCTTTTCGCATCTCTCACTTCAGGACCACCATTCTCCTAACTTTAAACATGAAAGGCATACCTGCCACATAGCCTGAGTCTTACCAAGGTGAATTTCTTGGAAAAGTACAATCTCCAGAGAGCCAAACAAAGGGACAATTCAACAGTTTTTTTATTCAAGCCTTCATAAACACTGCTCCCCTATTCCGTCCCATTAAGATATACCTTTCCAATTAAATTTTACCTTTTATTTTTAATGATTTTATGTCAAAATTTGTAATTTGTTTGTTGTTTGGATCAATTATGTGTTCATCATAGTTGTAATGGTAACTCAATCCAGACGATTTAAAAAAAAATTTAGGGCCTTCATGGTCAAGAAAAATTAATTTAAAGGTAATTTCAATATAAATGTGTATGTGCTTGTTAATGTATAGTTTACTTCAGAGAAGTACAATGGCGTGCTCAAGAAAAGATTTCCAAGATTCAAATCACAATAAAATTCTGAGGAGAAAGTAGAAAGGAAATACAAATTCATGGAAATACAAATTCCTTTATTTTAAATATTTTATTTTAGAAGAATGATAGTAGGTATCAATTCAGTATGTTATTAATATTACACAGGACATATTTGAAAGACATTTAAATTTTACTTTAAAGATTCAATATTTATAATGTAGCAGAAATTGCACATTTTGTAACTAAAGCTTATGAAAACTAAATATAATTTAAATATGCATGACATCACTTATTTGTCAAAATTATTTTAGAGGATTTATGAGCAAAAATGTTTGAAGACCACTGCTTTATATCGTGCTCTCTAAAGAATAGAATTTCTGGAGTTTTAGATTAAATGAGACTTTTGGGACAAAACAATTTCACTCTTTTTCTTTATTTACAATAGAAAGTAATTATTTTCTTTTATCTTGTTTTGAGGTGTTTGAAAGTATGTTTACGTTTTCTAATGTCTGAAAATAAATGGTGTTGGCCTTAACAACTAGCCACTTGATGACATTTTGGAGAAGCTGCAAGCAAATGAATACGGACAAATACATCGTTAAATTGCTCAATTTTTTCACCTGGAAATATGGAGAGCTTGGTGTATTTAATACTTTTGCATACTCCAATGTTCCTGCTAATAATTTGCCAATACAAATGCCTGAATATTACTGGATAAGTAGTATGAGGATCTTCTGGAGAATCAGCACCATTTTTCTAAGGAAATAAATGTCCAGATCCTTATTAAGAACAAACTTTAGTGTCTCTAAGCTCTGACTGTGAAATGGTTGGTAGAAATAGAATGAGAAGTATAATGTTTCTTTCCTTCTTTACTAATTGAGCCATTTAATTTTTAAATGTTCATATTAGTAAGATAACCCTACTTACAATGGGAACTTTTGATCTATTTTCTTTTGATAGTATTTATAGAATAAACCAGTCTTATTACTGAGAGTGTAAATTATACAAAGTATTTACACATACAAAAATTCATATAATTAAACTGAGATGAATATCATTTAGAAATGTTTGCTTAACATTTTTGTTTTTTTACTAGAGTATTATTGAAGCTGTGATCAGGGGTTGTAATACACATATCTAAAAATAGTGAATACAGATCAAGTGAACATTACATTGCCATTTTTAATTCATTTTGATGTTACAAAGAAAAACACAACTAAAGACTTTAGTTGTGAATTAAGAGTGTTATAACCTTTTACAAAGGACAAAAAAGCCTAAATTGACTTTATTGTTTTACTTTAAGATCCTATCAATAAAATTATATATTTATAAATATTGCTGTAACAAGTGACAAAACCTAATGTTGTCTTTTGAAATGTTAGTGATAAGCCTAACCTTTTTTCACTTATATATATGATACACATAATTTTTTTGAGCTTTAAAGCCTATAACTTTTAGAAGAAAATAGTCCTTTAAATTGTGTACTAGTCAATTCTTTTGGTTTGTATGGTCTTTAGTATAATAAAAAAGTTAATATCTTTACATATTATTGTCATGCCTTTTTTTGGTGACATATCAATTTTGTCTATTAACATATTTCCTTAAACTGAATTAACAATTATTCTGAATATATAACAGCTTCTTGTCAAAGGACAAAATGTTGTGACTCTTCCTATAATTTAACCTCATGCTGTTAAGGTTAAAAATGTAAGTTTAGGTTAAATAGAAAGGCTTTAATCAAGAATGTTGTTGGAGAGGGAATAAAACAAAATTATCTAAATTTAGATGAAATAATGATGAGGGTACATTAATATATGCACCTGAGAAGCAAATATAACCTACAGAAGTAAACCCAGAAAACGGTAAAAAGTCTAAAATATAAACTTTAAAAGGAAGAAATGAAAAATACATCAAGGCAGTATATATTATATGAAACATATATTGTTATTTCTTAACATTTTTGAAAAGACATGACATAGAGTAGTATTATTTTCCAAACTTAATTCGAGCACAGAATCAGTCATACACATTAATATATCACAGAGAAATGGTGCTACAGAAGGAATACATGAGAGCTCACGGGCAAGAACTAGGGAGAGGTATTTAAAGAGATGACTTTTTAACAGTGTGACCATCAGTAACTAGCTTCAGCTAATCAGGTCTTAAACCTGACCAGTTGATTGCAATCCCCTGGCTTAGATAATACTGATTTGTTTTATGAATCCAGTATAGGGAGCCCATGAGCAGGTGCCAACATATTTTAGGAATTTACAGTTTGGTGCTGAAAAAACAGATACACATACATTTGAAAAGAAATAAATATATTATCTGAACGGGACGGGGGTTAAGTTTGGAAAGAATTTCTCAGGGAGACCTGATTTGTGTGTTTGGCTAGGCACATTGGCCAAGAGGATATGTAATCATAGGATATGTAGAATAGTCTTGGAATGGTAGGATGCAGAAAGCATATTGTTTTGCCTAGAGTAGGGACACCATAGTAAAGACATTTTAGGGTCGAAGGAACATCTGCTTTTAGCTGGGGTTTAGGTTTCAGAGGAAAGGCACTAGGATCATTTCAATTCTTGAGTGTGTTGGGTGAGGCACATAGACTCAGGTCAAAAGATCTGAACATCTGCCCGGGTTGGAGAAAGAAGCTACCACTGCATAAAGTCTATGCCAGATTATACAAATCAACAGTGGTAGCCACAGAATATGGTAAAAGGAAAAACCAGAGAGAAATAAAAAATCGGTGAGACTAAACAATTTCATGGGAGTTCCTGCCCTGTGCCTAAAATTGTGGTGATTTGTAACTCTCCAAGCTTTCAAAAAGAACAAAGGAAAAATGAAGAAAGAAATATGGTAGTAAAAGAAGAGAATATTCAACAGGCGAGAAAATAACCAACACCCTCAATTAGTATTTAAAAATGGAAGGCTATGCCCCAATGGCAGTTACATGCTGTAATAGCCCAAAGCTCATACATGTTCTTTTTATAAGGACCCTTAGGCTGCAGTAACAGCTTAAACTGTTAAAAAGTTATGAAACAAACATCATAAACACAATCTCCTGTCCCCAAACTGCTCTGAGGGTTCTCCAACTCCCAAAGGCGCATGGGAAGGTTTGTAAGCACTGAAAACGCACGTTTGCTCTTTCATTAGGCCGACGGCGCCAGCTTACCAAATACAGTAAATGACTTTTCCCTTTCAACAATGTTGGGACTTCGGGGCTTCCAAAATACCCAGTATTTGTGACCTCATTTGAATGGGCGCCTGTCCTGAGTTCATACTGACACCGCAGGCAAGTTCCATCTGCATCATTCCAGGTGTGGCGTGTACGCCGAGCCCGCTAGCACTGAGGCGACCCGGCCCCAGGCGAAGGGCAAAAGAGCCCAGAAGCGAAGAGACCACCTCCAGCCACACTTTCGGCCCTGCAACCACCGCTCCTTTAACGTCCCCGACGTCCGCGCAGGCGCACGAAACCCGGAGCCCGTGCGAGGGCGACACCGGAAGTGCCCACGGCGCCCCGGATGCGACCGCGCGGCGGCGGTTGCCTGGGCGACGGGAGCATCTAAGAGCCGCTGATACTCACGGTTGCTGACTGAAAAGAAGTTTCCTGTTGCGGGGCCTTGACGGCTGGGGTCGTCCTCTCGGGGTTCCCAGGATGTTCTTTTACCTGAGCAAGAAAGTGAGTTTCTCTGGGGTCGCCCCCGCTTCTCCTCCGTTCTCGCGTCCTGCGGGCGATGCCCGCATCCTGCCGGGGAAGCCCGGCGCCTGATCGCGGCTTTGCCATCCTGCCTCCAACCAGCCTCGGACCTCTTCCAGCCGATCTCCCAGTCTCACATAGTTCTTGGCGAGAGTGGGGTACCCCTCTCGCACGACTGTCTCCCATTCCTGCCCCAGGCTACGTCGCTTTGGGGGGGCCACCAGGACAGATCACTGCGTCCTTCCGTCTCTTTCCTCCTCCACCTGTTGCTGATCCAAGTGACTTAAATTTTTTGGATCATCACGGGCCGCTGGGCAAGAGAAAAGTAATAACGAAAGGGTAGCCGAAATGTTGTGTGTGGAAAGGCGTGTGGACTGATGGTATGCATTTATTCCTCCCTCCCTCCTTCTCCCCTTGAGAAATTCATCAGGTGACTCCCGCGTTGGGTTCCTCTGCAGTCACTGCCCGTCTCTCCTGTCCGCTTCTTTCTCTCTCCTGTCCGCTTTCTTCCTCCCCAAATGGTAGGGCCCGGCACTTCAGGAAACTGTTGCCATATCATAACAGCTCACACTTCGGTAAGGGTGACCGTTTTTCTTCTTGGGGGATTTTCTTCAGCCTTCATCTCCTGTAGACTCACTTCTGAACTCCTTCGTGAAAAGTTGTGAGAGTGGCTGTGGTTGCTTTTCAGATTGCCATTCCCAATAACGTGAAGCTGAAATGCATATCTTGGAACAAGGACCAAGGATTCATAGCGTGTGGTGGTGAAGATGGATTGCTGAAAGTTTTGAAATTAGAGACACAGACAGGTAAATGAGTGCAAGCCCAGATGTTTGAACTTGATGGGAAATTGGCTTGTGTCATTTGTTCAAAGGTGTTTGCTTATGGTATTTGTCATTATGCAATTCTAATTCTTTTAAAAGGAAAAAAGCAAAATCGCCAACATCTTGTGATATTTTTCTAGATTATTTTTGCAATAAAGTTCAAAGAGTATTGAATGTAAACATCAGATGGCTTTTGCTGAAGTTATGGAAAGGGAAAAAGAATGAAGAATGAAAATTAAGTCACTGTGTTGTGCTCTGTCTCTTTGTTGTGCTGTATTGTTAGGAGTCTAATCCTAAACCTGCCAATCAGTGTGTTAGTAAGGTCACAAAATCTCATATTTTGGCTGATTATTTACAGGCCTAACTCATCCTTTCCACTTAATAGATGTTTTAATGATTATACACCTGATGCCCAGGAACAGAAAACCGGATTAAAAAAAAAATTTTTTTATGAATAAGTCTCCTGTCTTTATAGTTTAATTTCTATTCTTCTAGTTCTCTGGAATCGTAGCAAATAGTTTCACATTTCTTTAGCATCCCTGGTGTTGCTCTGGATTGGAGATCTACATAATCCTCCATCTAAACTGTAGATCTAGATAAGGAGATGGGGGTTGGAATCTCAGCTCTGCCCTAAGACCGCTGAATGGCTTTCAGCAAGTTGCTGAATATCTTTGGGCTTTGGTTCACTCTTGTTAGGTGAGAGGTTCAGCTAAATTACAGTTTGAATTCCTTACAGTATTGCTTCTCAAACTTTATCAGGCATGAAATCATCTGAAGAGATTGTTAAAGTGGACTTCGGGGCTCCAGCCCCAGCGTAGATCTGGGACGGGGTCTGAGAGGTTGCATTTCTAGTGATGCTAGTGTTGCTTGGTTCTCGGGTTCGTAGCACTACTTTACAGTTTTGAATGCGGTACGGATCATAAATATTTACTGAGCATTTTTTTGTAGGGGGTGTTTAACCTTCACTGTCTCATTTGACTTTACAGTAATCTTGAGTGGTCAGTACTCCAGATGAGAAAGCTGAGGCTCTGCTCAGTTAACTTGCCCAAGGTCACACAGCCAGTAAGTGGCAGAGCTGGCGTTTGAAACTAAGTCTGTCTCATTTTTAAGTCTTCGCTTGTAACCATTACACAGAGGGCTCGGTGGACAGCCTAAGCAAAGAGAAAATAATTGTTTTCATGTGCTAGATTAATTATATGAATAAAAGGCAGGTTTGGAAGGTAGATACTTATGTGCCAATTAGAGTTTGGCTTCTGATGTTTATAATTTAATCTTTCAATGCTTTAATTTTCTTAACTGTGTTAAAAGAAAATAATTTTCCTCTCCATTATGTTTCTCAAATATATGTGTATATATTCATGTTTTTTATTTTGCTTAAAATATGTAGCAAGTTTTAGTTACATTAAGAAATGCATTCATTATGTAAAACATTGAAGGTTTTTCCAAAAAAATTTGGTTTTTTTCCTGCTTTACGCTTTTGATGAAGTGTAGGGTATTCTTTGAAATTAACGAGCAAGATGGAAAATAAATTCTTGAGAGGTTTGGAAAATGGAGTAAATGATTTGTTTGAACTTATTGAATGTAAGTCATTTGAAAGAGATAAATACGAGAAATATGGCTGGAAGATTCTACAAAAGTGAGTGTATTGTATCTAATAATAATAATGATGTGGCAGATCCCTCCAGTGGCACATTTTTACTATTAAAACAACCATATCTTGTATCTAAATCTTTGCATGAACCTTTAACTACATTCTAGGATAAATTTCTAGAAATGGGATTCCCTGGCTCAGAGGGAATGTACATTTATAAAGGTTCTTAACATCTCTAGCCAAAGTCCTCCTCTGGAAGTTTGCACTAATTTGCATTCCCAGGGGCAGCATTCCCAGTTTTCACTCCCTTGCCTTAGAAGGAACGGAACTAGAGCCAGCCTTTGCCCCCATCTTTTTACATCCAGTTAAATGGGGAGGTGGGTAACTCTTCTTATCCACAGGCCAACTGCCACGTGTTTTGCTGGAGCCCCC